TAAAGTATGAAAAGAGAATTACTATACTGAATCTATAAGAATTGGCGATTACTTTAAGTCAAGACAGAAATTGAAAGAAATAAGAAGCCGGAAAAAAGATTATGAGAGCAGACTATCAAAACAAATGCAATAATGCAAAAGCAAAATCACCAGATATTTCAAAATCTATAGCGAAACATGAAAGCAATGTCGCAACCAAGCTCAAGACTTAGCAATACGCACAAATGTGCACAAAGGCTGAAAGCATATATGAAAAATCTCAAGAAGGAATTGACAATTACTTCAAATCAAATTGAACTGATTGAATTGAACTGAGACATAAATAACTATATCAAAAGTGAGTTTTACTTATACGCCAGAGGTTTCAAGAGTTTATCAATACGCACAGATTTGCAACTAGGCGGAAAGCATATATGACAAGTCTCAAGAAGAAAATAAAATGCATATGAAGAAAACACTTTCAATTAAAGAAACTGTGGATAGTACAAGACCCTCAAGGCATACATCGCAACGAATCTATGCAACTATCCAGACTACAAAATACTGTCAAAGTTCAAAACCACTCAAAAATATGTAAACAAACATCAAAAGTTTGAACCAAAAAGCAATGTAAGTCTGTGCTCTCGAAGAAAGTTATAATGAATTCAAAAAGAGGATACTATCAAAAACTTCAAAAGTAATAGACTTCAAAAATAGAAGTACGTAAGTATGTAAAGGAAATTCAGAAAATATACGCATAAAAACATTATAAAATATTATACACAGTATTTGTCACATCGGGAATGCAATTTAAATTTTGAGTACACTCAGAAAAATGAAATATTCAAAAGATGAAGTATACACATTAAATTGGAATCAGAAAAGTAATTATGACTTGTAAATTTTGTAAATGCTGGACTGACGTAATAGTTCAAAAGGTTGAAAGAACAACGATGTTAAATGTCCAAAGTAAACATTCAGCTGCCTCTTACAGCAAATAAGTTTATTCATTATCAAAGGAAATTCTTGTCCGTTCGCATCTGTACTAGGAAATAAACATAGGAAAACCTACTTGCTCCAATGTACAGACCGAAAAACTCGCCCCTTCGATTGAGCGGAACAATGAGTATTGGACTGATTGTAATATTTCAAAAGGTTGAAGGATCAACGATGTTAAATGCCCAAAGTAAACATTCAGCTGCCTCTTACAGCAAATTAGCTTAGCAATTATCAAAGGAAATTCTTATCCGTTAGCATCTGTACTAGGAAATGAATATAGGAAAACCTACTCGCTCCAATGTACAGATCGAAAAACTCGCCCCCTTCGATTGAGCGGAAATATGAGTATTGGACTGATTGTAATATTTCAAAAGGTTGAAGGATCAACGATGTTAAATGTCCAAAGTAAACATTCAGCTGCCTCTTACAGCAAATTAGCTTAGCAATTATCAAAGGAAATTCTTATCCGTTCGCATCTGTACTAGGAAATGAATATAGGAAAACCTACTCGCTCCAATGTACAGATCGAAAAACTCGCCCCCTTCGATTGAGCGGAAATATAAGTATTGGACTGGTTGTAATATTTCAAAAGGTTGAAGGTTCAACGATGTTTAACGTCCAAAGTAAACATTCAGCTGCCTCTTACAGCAAATAAGTTTATTCATTATCAAAGGAAATTCTTCTCCGTTCGCATCTGTACTAGGAAATAAATATAGGAAAACCTACTCGCTCCAATGTACAGATCGAAAAACTCGCCCCCTTCGATTGAGCGGAAATAACAAGGATCCAAAACACTATAAAAAACTAACAATACAAACAAAAAGTTTCAATACAAAAAGAAGAGCAGCCAAATCTTAAAAAAAATATTTTATATCTGACATACATTAAAAAAGTACAGAGACGTTCAAGTTCTGTTAATCCAATGGAAAATCAGACACTAATGTTCTAATTTCCCCCAAAGAATATGCCAGATAAAACTATAAAACATTAAAATTATGAAAACTTATGCTCCAAACAAGAGACAAAATTACTACAATAGTTACTGAGGAACGTATACTATATATTTAAACAACAAGTTGACATTTAATTACCATAAATGAGTATGTGTGTCTTTGTATAGGTAAAAATGATTTAGGAGTCACCCCCTCATTGAAAAGTAGCAAAAATATAGTCAAGAAAAACATCATTTGTTTCTTGAAAAAAAGAAAGGTAAGTATCAAAGTACTATGTCCAAGTGTCAATACTTGAAAAAAAGTAAACCGCCAAAATATACGAAAAATTATGAATATCAATTTCATATAATTCAGAAAAATGGATAAATCGCAAAATGATTTACTCCAGATAACTCTAGTCAGTAGATTATTGCCATCAGAATGAAAACAAATGATTAAAAGTTCAAGTACAGTCAAAAATTCAAAAAGTAAATACATTTGGGGAAGGCAAAAATAATTTTGAAAGTAAATTTCCTACGTACCAAACATCATGAGAGCTATATCAGTACACCAGAGATCCAACAATTAGGCTATATATGCGTACATGAAAAGTCTCAAGAAATCAAAAAACTGCACATGAAGAAATACTTTCAAAAACTAAGAGGTTAGTGATAAAAAATGAAAAGCATATAAGAATATGTAAACTATCAACAACAATAGTCACAACCTCAATCAAAAGTTTGATGATATTCGACAAAAATGCTGGGAAACCTAAAGTCCCCAGACTATCAATATTCAACAACAAAAAAATGTCAAAATATCATCAATCTCAAAAGTACAATGAGAAAAAAGTTATAACTGTCCCCAGCAGTAAATAAAAACTGTAGTAGTATGTGAGACAAAAAAATTCTGGCAATGATCTCGCTGACTACTAAACAAGACAATTTAAAAGTTAATAGTATGCCTATGAAATAAACAGGTGGAAAAATTTTAATCTTTTGATAAAAATTTTAAACATTAAGCAAAAGTAAGGATGATTAAGGAATTAGAAATTTGAGTACCAAAAGCAATTAAAAATAGAAATGCTGCCAAAGATTGTAAAGAATTTTGAAAACTATGTTCTGTCTGCCAATCTTCCACTAGCAACCCACTTGTCGACAAAGCCAAACACCTATCGAAGCCCCACGTTGGGGGTGCCAATTTATGCAACGCTTCCTTTCAGCAAAAAGTCCAGAAAAGATGGAATGCAATGAAGATTCCAACTTTTCTGCACAATCACAGAAAGGGGGTTACAATTAGCTTCCGGTAGCTCAGTCGGTGGCATGAAGACATCTACAGGCGTGTAGCTGTGTGTCGACCATGGCATGGCTAGAGGATAGAAGAACAAACAGAACACAAACATTTAACAGATTTTATTTAACAAAAAAAAAGGCATTTTCATTACATTACAATTTTACAAAAATAACAAAATAAGTTTTACATCTTTGGCGCTGCTATAACGCTATCGACTTATCTTTCGCTGGTCCATTTTTACTCGACTGAAGCCAGGATGGCCAGGGGCTTGAAGGGGAGGTCCCAGTTATGAGGGGTGACCTCCATATAGTGGCTTCACAACCAGTTGTAGGCGAAGTTAAAGGCGATGGCGCTGCCAAGGTACATGCATGGGTGAAAATATTGGCCAAGGCTAGGCAAAGTGAAAGGCAAAGAGAAAGGGGGTGGCCCCAATCATTTTTGTCCTATACGGACACACATTCTAGAAAATTCTAGCACATGGTGCTATATAACCTTGTGCTACAGAGAAGAAATTTCTAGCCGTTGTTCGATCGGCGGCTCAAGTGAAAAGGAAGCGCGAGGAAGATCGCAGATCAGGAACTCCGCATCAAGCGCTCCAAGCGGAAAATTTTCCAAGCAAAAAAGCTAGAGATGGGATTAATGAAATGATAATCGAGAAGTGATTTAATAAATACGATCGGACGGTGAAACCGTTACAGTGTACCCATTTTATGCGTCCATGTTTGGAATACCCCCTTGAGCAACTTGCAGCAATAAAACCTTTAGAACTATTTCGCAAACCAGGTGTTTCTTCGTCTAATATGATTAGACTAATAGTGCGTCGCTGCAACGCCAACCCCGAACAAAATCAGTCAAACTTTACACACTTTTCAAATTACTATTGAGCAACAAACAGAACATAAATCACTTTTCAAGTGCAATCTGTATAAAGAATATATTGCTTAGACTTAGATTTGTCACAAGTCACAATACTCGTATAATACGTATAAATCGTAAGAATTGTGCTGTAAACGTAAGTGATGTCGAAGAGGGACAGCGTTTGGAATACCAAAGGATACCAAAAATCGCAATGCTCTGTTCCTATAGCTATAACTTATAGTTAGTATGCATCTGTCGCCATGATGTGTCAGAAAGCAGCACAATGGTGTTAGATTAAAAAAGCAAGTGTCAGACGGCTAGGGGGGGGGGGGCCCCCTCTAAATCCGCGACTGCCTATCACAAGGTGGTGCGAAACATTGTTGAGAGAGCCCTGGACGTGCCCTCACGTAGATGAGAAGGGAGTGATTTGAGACACGCGACAATGTCAATCAACAATGCGCGACAATTGTCTAGTGACACTGAGCGCGTTCAGTCAACGTAATTAAGTGCAGCCCCATACTAGAAAGCGGTAGCCATGGGATAGTTTTGTCAGTTTGAAACCAGTTTTCACTTGGCTATCAGATTTGACAATATGTTTATTAAATCTTGCGAACTTTCAAAGCTATTCCACAGGTACTGCTTTTCAGCATAAAAGCGCTGCACCGCTAGACTGCTTTACGTTGGCTGAACGCGCTTATTTTCGCCCACCTAAAGTTGAATGTTCGCTAATGGGAAGGAAGTCACTTAGGCGCGTTACAACGCCACGATACAATGCTTGACGTCATAAGGCTGACTTTATTGCCGAATGTTTTCGCGTGGCACAGATCGCTTCCCTTTCTCACGGTGAGCGTGCACCTTTAATCCCTTCCCCTCAGCAAGCGTATATACCTATACTGCGACAAACGTTCACTGTTCAAAATTATAAGCATTAGAGCACACTCTGACTCTTATTACGTGTCAAACACTTGTCAAATACTTGCTACCGTTTTATCTTTTTACTTTTACATCAGCATATTCATATAATCGAACGATTCATCACATAAAATGTCCCTCATTATTTAGGAGAAAATTATAGCTCATACTGAACATGGGAGAAAAGCATGGATACCTACCATTTCCAAAATCGTTCAAAACCATATGCATCCACCATACAAAAGAACCAAAAAGAGAAACTTGTAAAGAGACCATGGCGCCAATAGTTACTTCTAATATATGCAGGTTGGAGAGTGCTGGAGGCCCTTCTGTAAGTTATTTGAATTTGGAGATATAAACCGCAACGTTTCGAAAAGCACATTCAAATTCGGCTTTTACCACTGGAGGTCGGTTAGATGGGGGCAAAACTATACACATGCTACGTATTCGCGTAATTGAGTATTTTCTTCCGACTCCAAATCTCTATATACGGGGTGTTTCAGAAAGGCATGCCAATATTCCTAGGGTAGAAAGTACATCCAAAAATAAAAAAAAATCCATAAATATGGGTCCAAAGGTGCTCCCTGCCGAGATACAGGGTGATGAAATTTCATTTAAAAATTAAAAAAATATATATCTAGCGAGCGGGTAAGGTTACTGTAGTCGTTCACGACACAAACTAAACCAGTGATGTAGATACTGGGCTACCGGCACTCTTAATAGGAAATATTTTCTACGCCGCTGACCTTTTCGGAGAAAAGAAGTGCATTTTATAAAGTACCATCCAATTTTCCATAAATTTTTTTAGAGACATTTGGCTTTGAATATTTGTGGTAAAATTCTAAAATACTTTTATGAAAAGGTTTAGCCTCCTCTATTCTGAAAACACCGTGAAGCTTGTTATTTGAAATACTATATGGCATGTAAAGAAAGCTATGTCACTTCATTACAACGTTAATCTAATAATAGGCGTGTCTTATCCTCAATCGTAGAAGCTTACAATTCATCGCTACTCAAACTTCCAGCAATACCAGGGCGTTGCAGTATTTATTGATCATTCCGTAAGTGAATTTCTACGTAGTTTCATGCAATCAATAATTACCGACGACAGTAAATATCACATTCCATGATAAATACTGATTAAACACAGTAAAAACTGTTCATGTGACATTTGCCTAACATTACCGAATTCGGCTGCGGTCTTTCACTGTCGCAGGGTGCTGTCAATAACTTACGTCATTGGCAATTCAGTGAATCCTGTCAACTGATATCGAGATAATAAAGTTAATAAAATATTGTGTTGCAACCTGCTGCGACGTTATCTCGCGGTTCGCAGCATATCCGGAACTTGCAGTTGCAATCGGCAGCTAGCAAATTCCGCCTCAACTGACATCGTAACCGTTTTCAGCGTACTAATTGTGAGACATAAACTTCATCGTAAAAAAATATATGGTTGCACTCCCGAAGAAATCTACCTTCTCATATTATATGACACATTAAATACTAACTAAAATTACCTTGGATTATTGCTTGAGAAAATTAACTCCAAAATACACCACACAACTGTTTTTTTTAATGCGTCACAGTGACAATTATGGAAATCATACCAAACGCAATCACGTAGGTACCTGACTTTCGACAGGCTGTCGCCTCTGGTACTACTTTCAGCAATGATGCCCAACCTTTTTTTCAATGGGGTCAAATTGTCAATTTTAAAGATATGAACCATATAATTTTGAATTCCTCTACTGATATTTTTTTTATATAAGCTTACTGCAGGATCCTTAAATTTTCAGCAAGTAATAAAAGGACGACTTTTAAACCCAACGAGAAGCGTTTTAGAAAACCTTATAGCCAAACTGTGTAAAACAAAATACGCACTAACTTACGCAAGTGGAATAGGAGCTATTGCGGCTGTATTTAGCCTTCTGAAGAGTGGAGATCACCTACTCTGCAATGATGATATTTACGGAGGAACTTCGAAAACTCTTATCCAAGTGTGCCCTAATTTTGGCATATGCACGTCTTTTATCGATCTGACTGATCTCAAATCTATCCCAGGTAACATACTCCAGTAACACCTGACTTAAGGCCCATATTTATAGTTGACATTTGAGTGTGCCCAATCTTAATGTCCTGGGCGCAAAAATTTGCATGTATGGCCCAAATTCCCCAATCAGAAGGCATTTTTCGAGTGATATGGATCTAATGAATATCGTAGATTTCTGGTAAAATATCTCTCAAACTAGAGAAAAATCATACGATTTGTGTAAGATGGACTCCTATTACCCTATCAAATTAACAAATATTTCGTAAATCTGCAAAAGTTACAAAAACTTTCTTTTTTCTTATGATCCCGTTCGCAGAATTTACGTTTAAGAAGAAAATTCGACCAAAAAGAAGTATTTGTGCTCTGCTCCAATCATAGATCAAATGTGACACAATATCTAGATTTATGTGACAGCAATGATTGAGTGTCTTAACTATTCGTCATTTGTTTGTCTGGGCGGTCCGTAGGACCTTTGCCCATTAGTCACTGTCTAAATGTACGTTAGTCGAATGTGTCAGTCCTGGTTGCCCAGAAACCAGACAAAGTGACTGAGTGTCTTGTTGAAAATAATTGTGTCACTACTTGAGAGTAAGCTTGCGCCGCATGTCGGGAATGTTGACCGTGTATTGCAAATTTTCGACACACCTCAGTAGAAAACGGTCGCCATCTACCAGGTTCGACGAAGAATCGAGTTCTATCTAGTAAACGCGGGAGTTCATCAAAGACCGTCGACTCACCAAATAAATACACACACAGAGTGCATATGCAGTTATAGTATAGTCGTCGATGAGTGAGCAACAGTTCAAGACGCGACAGTCTAGTCGATATGGTTAAACATTTGTAATAAATTAGTTGCAAGTGTTGTTATAAATTAGACTTTAAATGGTGTTCTAGTAACAATATGAATCACTTTTCCCGGTATGTTTGGCTAACACACCGTCTGTGACTGGGCGATATTTATGCTGTAGTTATATTTATAATAAAGGTATTTCGGTTTGCATGTAACATATGGATGGCCCAAAAAGCGGTAGATTCAAGAAATATACGTAAAATTGGTTCACTTCATTTCTGCATAGAATACAGAGTTACCAGTAGATGAGCCACATCGACGAAAAAGCAGATTTTTCCGCGGTGGCTCAGATGATACCTGGGTGACTAAAATGCTAATAATCGAGAAAGTATCTTCACATAAACTTGAAAAATTATTCTGATTATGCGTTTTGTAATCAAAAAGAACCAATGCTTGACTCAGTTTTAAGCCTGGCAACATGCAGATTATTTAAAAGAGGCCCTTTTAGTAATAAAGTTATGAAATTTCAATACAAGGTCACTATTATGAAAAGGACAAATAATAATTCCTAGCAAATATAAATGGCTGTGTTAATTGTATATTGATTTTATAGAGATGCACAATTGCATAGGTTTCTGCAAGCAAAAACTCTACAATTTCATACAGCAAAGGTCTGAAAATATTTTCATAAATCATCGATCTCCCTCAATTTTTTTCTTTAGCTAATAATTAAAACCTCAGGTGAATTTGAATAGCTTTTCTGACACACAAGCTTATTAAACCAATTTTTAAAACGAGAAATCAAAAATTTATCTAAAAAAGATTGCAGTCATAGCCTGAACGTCAGCTCAGTTTTTTAATTATTATCTAAGGTTTCAATCATTAGCCAAGAAAATGAGGATAGACCGATGGATCCGAGACAATTAAAGCTAATCCTAAATTTAGAATTTTAAATCATCCATAGATTTACTTAGGAATGTTACTAGTACGACACCTCCTGCAGTGTCATTCATATATATATCCTTTGTGTTTTATATTCTTTCTTATAGCTTTTACTTAACTACACATAAAGTTAAAAAACAAGGTTTGCTTTCTTACTTACATCAGCACTCTTTACGTTACACCCATTTTTAAATCTGTGACCATACATTATATTCCAAGTATTTACAAAATCGACACAGTGGTTACTGAGATTACGCAATGACAAAGAAGACAGAAAGTCATGAGGAGAATCGGCGATCAGAGACGAGGAGGCTAAAAACTATTTTTCAAGCCGCAATATTTATGAGCAAATGATATTTCCATAAAAATAATAATCACATGAATGCGCCAAAGCACAACAGCACTACCCTGTAAAAAGCAATAAAAAAGTGCGGGAATTCTCGAAGTGAGGCACCTAAAAAAAAGTATCCGAATTCTAGGAAAAATGTTGGAATCTTTAGAAGTTCGTAGATCAAACGTTTTTTTGCAAGTGCCCGCGGTATCTGTGTATTCTTTAATTTCGGTCTTTTTATTGAATCAGTCACTTGTTTCTCAATATATTGTAAAACACTAGTACAGAGAGTTTATGGACTAAATGCCTTTTCATGCCTCGCTTTATGCGGGTTTTATTGAATACAATGCTGATGCAACAATATGAAGTCTCCTGTGCAGAATCGTCGTCCAGTCGGCAATCGGCAAAATCTTTGCTAGATGAGTGACCGGTTCGTCTACATCAGGCGTCCTTTCTTGCGGCCCGCTTCACGGGTCATGTATACATCACATGTATAAATTACTCTCAAATACCGAATATGCACAATTCTTACATTAACGATAAAATACAATAACATATGTGACGCCACTGGCGACCGATAGCAGGCCGCAGCGAATTTACTGGAAATTGGACCGATCTCTCGATCATCACCGAATATTCGAGAAGCCACGGGCGCGTATATAAGAAGGTTGAATCAAGCGGGACAGGCAGTTTTGTTCTAGTGCTAGTGCGTTTCAGTACACAGCAACTCTAAAGCCTTTTTAAGTGAAATACTCCGTGAAATATGTCTTCACAGAAACGAAAACTAACGAACGAACATCAAGTTTATAATGATCGTTGGGAATCAGAATATTTAATCTTAAACAATAATAATAAATTTCAGTGCATTGTTTGTATGCAAGTACTATCGGTTCCTAAAGAATATAATTTGAAACGACATTACACTACGTTACACGAGAAAACGTTTCGGCAGTATTCAGGGGACTCGAGGCAGGCTATCATAACGGAATACAAGAAAAAACTAAAACAACAAACAAGTTTTTTTTAAAAAATCTGACTCTGATAACAAGTGCAGTATTGCCGCCTCTTACAAAATAGCGCTGGAAATTGCCAAAGCAAAAAAAACCTTTTAGTGATGGAGTGCTTATCAAAAAGTGTGCAATAGAAATGGCGAAACAATTCAATGAATTAAAAGTTGCCGAAAAATTTGAAACAGTCTCAGTATCGCATCAAACAATTGCAAGACGGGTGGTGATTTTTTGGCCGAAGTGGATGCTACATATAGGGACTTGTTACTTCACACCGATGTTCGTTGGTTAAGCGCCGGAAAGTGTTTGCAACGATTTTTCGCTGTACGCAAGGAAATTCCTATTTTCCTTAAAAATGAAGTGAAGTCCGACACTACGGAACTGGAAAATCAAATGGCAGATGCACAATTTTTAGCAGACCTTGCATTTTTAATAGACATGACATCTCACCCTAACAAATTGAATTTGAAGCTACAAGGAAAACAGCAGAATATTGCTCACTTATTTGGACACATAAATGGGTTTAATAATAAAATTAAGCTTTTCAAGTCATCATTACAAAAAAATGATTTTTCATTTTTTCCAAGTTGTAAAGAACATTTCGAAGAAATGAAGGACCTGAGGAAGTTTCATATTTACCTCATATAAAATACATTGACACAACTGCAGAAGAATTCGAAAATCGATTTAGTGACTTTAAAAAAATCGAAAGCGACATTTCAGTTTTTACTCAGCCACTAACAATTTCTGTTGAGAACGTAAACAGAGCAGACCTTCAACTGGAATTGTGTGATTTGCAATCAGATCCTTTTTACCAAGGAAGAACTGAAACTGGCTTGGACTTTTTTAAGTTACTGCCAGGAGAACGATACCCCAACTTGCAAAACTTAGGACTTACAATGGGATCAATCATGGCAAGCACGTATCTTTGCGAAAGCAGCTTTTCCAACATGAAATTTATCAAGTCAAAGTATAGATATTCCCTCTCTGATAAGTCACTTACTCAGTTACTTCGTATATCAACATCAAATGTCAATGTTAATATTGATACAATAGTATTAGAAAACCAACATCCTCAAATGTCCCACTGATTTTTTTGTAATCTCATATTTTTTGAATAAATAAAAATAATAGAAAAACTATTTTTATATACCATATAGTATACGTATAGTATATACCTATTAAAACTCAGTAATAATGTTGTATAGAAAGATTTTATAATGCGGCCCTCCAAACTGCATTTTTTTTTGAAGTGGCCCTTGGGCCACATTAAGTTGGACAGCCCTGGTCTACATAATTAGTAAAATCTAATTTTTGATCAATGGTCCGTCTCAAAAATTTTGTGTATCAATATATTATTTAAATTTATAAAATCAAAGGAGCATTTAAATATAAATGTTGTCTTGTTGACATTGAAACTTAGGTAATTGTTGTCACAGCATTTTTTGATTGATTGATGGATTGTTTTTGGCTTAATTTCATTTATATCTGTGGTCTTGTGGTATCGTCAGCAAAAACTATGAATTTACCATTTATGTTTAAATTTATCAAATCGTTGATGGCAACTAAAAATAGGATCGGGCCTGATACTGATCCTTGAGGAACTCCTGCCTTTATATTTAATGTATTTGGTATACAATCTCTTAATACTTTTACAATTTGGAATCAATTATTCACATAAGTTTTAGGAACCATATTTGTTTAATTTTTCCTATTAGTATATCATGATTTACATAGTCAGAAGCTTTAGAAAAGTCGCAACAAAGAGCAACTGAAATTTGTTTATCGTTTAAATTTGAGTATCACTTTTGGAGTAACCCTTCATATTTATTTTATGTTAACAAGTGATCAGTATCTTGTATAGTATTTGTTTGTTTTTTTGCTATTGTATTTTAATAATTACTATTTAGTACGTCGTGATTTATAGGTGGTATGCTAGCGGGTAAGTAGGATGTTTGCCACATATTAGTTTCTGTTCATAATAATTCTTTTGTGCTGAAGCTTGAACTTATTTATATATTCTATGATACGTCATATATTTACAAGTTGTTCATGAAATGTCAGAAAGGCATTATCAGTAAGGAAGCAATCATTCTAGTTTATTGTGGTACTTCTATTAAAATATCTTTTATAGTTATCACCACTAAATGTCTGATATAATAATATCTCTTTTGTTTCTTGTAATTACAGTTAGGTGAGTTGCTACGAGTGCTTCTGATCTGACAATTCATACTTCTTGATGTTATATGGACGCCAGATGCATCTAGCATCTGTCACACTAACAGAATATTCATTGAGTGCGCGCTTGACTGACAATTTGATAATAAAGGTTTACCATATAAGACTACCAACTTCAATGATTTGGGATTCTATTATGGATCTTATAAGAATGTTTAAAAACTTTGCAGTATTAAAATTATTTTTCTTTAAGAACAACCTTCTTGTTCAGAGTAACCAAAAAAGCAGAGAAAAATTTGCCCAGAGTGAAAAAAAGCAATTTTTGGAATGTTTTCAAAAGTTATTTAAACAGCAGATTCGTTAAAAAGAGTCCTTTTGAATAAGATTCTGTAAAAAAACAAACATTTTTCCGAGCCGATGCGAAGATACTTCAAGAACTAATTATAAATACCCTATCATATCTACATGATTCACAGAAATTGTCTCTCATTCTAGAATACATAAGACCCAATACAAAGTTAATCTGGACAGAGAATCCAACGAACCCCACGTTAGAAGTAATGGATCTGTGTGGACTCAGCAAAGTAGCTCATGAACACAAGCTGATGTTAGCTGTAGATAACACCTTTCTCTCGCCATATTTACAACGACCTGCAGAGCTTGGTGTTGATTTGGTAGTTAATTCGGTAACTAAGTACATGAATGGCCACAGCGATGTCATCATGGGAGTTGTCTGTACCAGCAGAGATAATCTGTATGAACGGTTGAAGTTTATACAACAACGTAAGTTTTAAGGTATACACCCATTGATGGAAAGGGAAATGAAGAAAACAGGAGCGAAACTATTTCGCTAGGTTCCTTTAATATCATAATTAAATAAGAGCGCTCGCACTACAAGGTTTAAATTATTTCGATTATTGTTTATCCATACCCATTGCGAATTCCAGGACACTTTAATCATGGTTCAAGTACAGTTTAAATCGAAGTCGTTAGCAGACAGTGAAGAGGTTAAATTATCATGGGCTTGTTTCAGGATAGAGATAGTTCCCTAATTGCACAAACGCGTTCCAAATACGTTCCAGCTACGACCCCGGTAGGTCGCCTATAGTCGCAAGACGTTTCAGGAACCAATTTTATCGCAAAAAAGTCGGTAAATAAGAGTGTAAAAATTTTGTAGGCTGATTAAATTGGCAGCATTGATGTTTCGGCTGCCACACCAACCTGCCTTATTTTCCTTGAAGTACAATACCAGATAATACAGAATCGGAAAACTGCAATTGTCCACAACAATTTATTTCAATCTTTCGATTTCATACTTTGAGACATGATGTAGTGGGAGTCAAATCATGTATACATAGAATACGATTTCCCTCAGTGGTATGGGATTTGACCCTATTATGATATTCACATATCTCACTTTGTATCTCAGATTTTGGACACATTCCAGCACCATTTGACTGTTACCAAGTTATTAGGAGTTTGAAAACACTACCTATACGTATGATGAGACACATGTCCAGTGGAATAAAATTAGCACAATACTTGGAAAATCATCCAAAAATAGAGAAAGTACTCAACCCAGGTAATTTGTTCACCTTATTTTACATCATGAAGTTCACAGAACTGAACTGTGTCGAGACCTTTACCTTCTGTCAATATCTAAAGAAAATTGATGTAAACTGGGCTGACCGGAACATTAGTGAATTTTCATACATCTGTGGATTTATTTGATGGCCAGAGAACAATTTAAGAATATATTTGCGGTATGGTAATTCAAAGTGTGTGGAAAGATCCATCAATATTTCACTGAGCTACCTATATGTTTCAGCTCTGCCTTCACATCCTCAACATGACCTCTTTAAATCTCAAGCATGTGGTCATAGTGGTATGCTAGCAGTATATCTCAAAGGCACCGATTTAGACACTACCCATAAATTAATTGACAGCTTGAAGCTTTTTGTGCATGCTGTCAGTTTGGGAGGATATGAGAGTTTAGTTCAAATGCCGTAAGTTCCCATCATCGCAGAATAGTTTTTATTTGAGATATCAAGATAAAATTCAGAAAGAGTTTAATTGAGAAAAACATTGCATGTTACTAAAAACATTCTTTTACTATAACAGATACAGAATATTATATATAAAAAACTATTTTAAAAAGTTAAGAAATATTTCCCTATACAAACCCTTCCTTTTATAATTCCCTTTTTAACACAAAAACAAACTCAAGAAATATTCGTTTTATTCAAAACTCACAATAGAGAGAACCACTTTGTACTTTCCAAAACAATCTTTTTTAAATTAATGTAAATCAGGACGACCTTTTCTTTAACACATTAATGATCAGCGCTAAAGTTTTGAAATTTGCTTCTGGGCCAGGTATTTATTTATAACCCCTATTAGATCCATATGACTTGAAACATTACCTTTGACTGTGACCACATAGGGAAACATGGTCTGTGCAGAAAACAGAGTGTGCACCAATATGAAGCACATGGTCGTTTACATTTAAAAAAAAATTCATAAAATAAAATAATCCGTTCATAGTCTTCTGTCAAGATTCCAAAAAGGCATACTCCAAAGATGCAGAAATCTATGCTCATGGTTTTTGTTGACAATCAGGATATACATTCCTGATTTCACAAAATTTATTATTTATGGACGTATCACCTTCGCATTCTGGCTATATTTATTTCATTATATAACCTAGAAAAATAAGTCTAATTGGATGATTGTTATCAACTAATTGTACTATTTACCACACATATTTTGATTTTATTTATTTCTAGAACACTACTGAGTCATAGAGATACACCTGATAAATTGAAGAAAATTTCAGGCATAACGGACAATTTAATAAGAGTAACAACAGGATTAGAAAACATAGATGACTTGATTGCAGATTGGGAACAAGCACTTGACAAAATATAAAACATTGTTTTTATTGAAATATAAGTAGCAATATAATATAATCAGCCACCCCACTTATTACTGCCAGGATAGTTTTCTATTGTTAAACTTTTACATCTTCTTAGTTTCACTGCAATTTTTTCATCATCAGGTTGAGGTTTCACAGATAAAACTTCAACTCTAGCAACTACCAAGTGTTCAGGATTTGAGTTACTAAAACCTTTTATCACATCTATTTCATCATCCTCTTGAACAGCAATACTTTTCTTTAGAACCTTTTCCCCATTGAGTCTCACTCTACTCTCATAGAACAAAGCTTCAATTTTGTTTCTGGACAGACCTAGTCCTGCTTTTAGTATGGCATCAAACCTGAGTGAGGGAACATCAACTTTCAGGGTTTTTGTGTTCCTGTCCTTAACGGTAGTCAAAAAATCGTCCTCTGACTTTTCTCCTGTACTGTCTGTCTCAAACTCTCCCTGATTCAGTTTGCTTTTACGTGCTTTACTTTTGAGTCGATTTGTTTCTAGGTTATACAAATAACTGTTGCATAAAACAACACGGTGAATCTTTGATCGAGATAAAGTAACTATGTTTTTGCTTAGACTATAACACAACAAAGATTTGCAAGCTCTTGAAAAAAGCATATTCCTTATATTATTGAACATTTTTCGGTTTTGGTTGGTTTTTGACGTTTTCAAAAATCATAATACAATCATAACCTAATTTCTTTATAGTACGCCAACCGCGCGACCTAGTGATGAATCACTCGACTACCGAGTTAATAGTGCTCCAGTAATATTAGATCTACCGTGAAGACTAGAGATAGGAGAATGACGAGTGTTTTCGTGTAATGACTCCGACTCACGGCTCACTCACTTCTCACATGTTTTGTGCTGTGCTCCGTGCCTGTGCTGCTAGCTGCTACTCTTACCACTTTTGTGATGGTACTCACTCACGGAATGTAACGATATTGTAAAGCATATTATATCATATTATCATATCATGTCTTGAAAAAAGTGATGTTTGGTCAGCTTTTGAGGAGTTATCGGGTTCTAGAGCAAAATGCAATTTTTACTCTCAAATCTTATCATTTAGGGGAGGATCAACATATAATTTGATTAGACATCTTGAAACAAAGCATCCTGGGTCCGTAGACAGTGTATGTAGGAAGGGCGGCCAGAGTTCATCAGTAAGAGATGAAAATCAACTATCAGAAGCCAGTCCATCTAAACCCTCCACCTTCAGTTCCAGTAACCAGCAATCAGGAAACATCACAGCGTTTCATGTAGCAACTAAAACACAACATACTTTGAATATGAATTATTTTTTTTATAAACCTGTGCCAGTGAAAAAGAAGGATGAGATAAACCGGTGTCTGGTCACAATGATTTCCAAACAATATCTACCTTTCAAATTGTGGAAAGTGAGGATTTTAAGCAGTTTATTAAAGAATTGAACCCTGGCTACTCGCTCCCCTGTAGAAAAACTGTATCAAAAGCATTGGTACCTCAATATTATAATAAAACAAGAGAGGGAGGAGGATAAACTCCTGGAATGGGGGTGAAGCCAAAAATGTCGACGATGAAATGAGTCGGTACACTTCATAGCAAATAAATTACAGTTGCTGCTCATGGCATTTCCCTTGTGTGTACACTGCACAGAAAATAAATTTCAGATTCTGTCATTTTTCTCTGTTGCTGTCATCATGTTTGTAAACAACACCTGTTTTCATAGTTCGGACGGAGCTGCAAGCAGAAATATTGGATAATAATAATAAACCACGAAGTACGGTTTGTTCGTAATGTGGTCGGTGCCTGCGGAATTAACAGAGCGAACAGAGTTTGTGTGGGGGGATCTTGGACCTGGTGACTGACAGGCTGGCGACTGTTATACGGACAGAGCTGTAATAATCATTCAAAGCATGGCGACACGTGAGTGAAAAGTACATAAACATTGCGATAGATAAATGTTCACATTTTGAATGCAAAGACGCTATGCGCCATGTTCTACGCCCACCGACACCATCTTTGGCGACAGGATTGGCTTTAATACGAATACATGTATCCTATACGCAGCTTAACCTAATATCTCTCGAACGAAATAGTGGAACGCAAGAAGTACAGATAGTACAGAAGTGTGTCTGTGTAAATGTTATAGCTGGCTCTTCCTCCTCATGAGCGTTCCATATTGGCGGCACATAGAACCAGCATGTACACGTCAAAACTGCTGAAGAAACCGTACACGTAAAAGGGTGTAATGAGAATGACAATCTGCACAAGTCTGAATACCGTCGAGGTCTAGTTAAAAAATATAAAAGTATAAGTGACCCACCAAAATAGAATTTTCAGCCGAAACAAAAGCGACTATTGTCTGTATTTCGGCCGAAACAGAAAGCCCAAGTTTCTTAAACCTACGAAAATATACCCTGGAATTTAGAGGTCTACAGAGTTATGGGAGTAATTGGACAACTTACCTCTCATAATGTACGATTTACTCCTTAAGTATAGTGTTACTAGAAATAAAATACTATGGTTAACTTGCTTTAACTCTACTTCTACAACTTCTTCCCGTTCAAGTGTGATCGTCCTCGCGTTAAGGAATACATCAGTACCGATTGCCAGGCGGCAGTACAAGTCCTCCAACCGCCCAGTTTAGGTCTATTAACATTATTAACACGGAAAAAGAAGGTGGTAGACAAGGACCAGTCGACCGAGGCGGTACCACCTGCTAGCTTTTTCTAGGGTGTCTGAAGAATGTCCGCATGTTTCCACACCTAAGCTACGCAGTCGGTGATCTCCCCCAACAAAGAAATGAATGATGATGGATCCCTCGAGTACTAAGAATTCCGGACGTAAGCTCAATCCATTCTCGGAGTATCCTGGTGGAGGGTGAACTCGAGAGAACAACATCGATGATAAAATTTGTTTCACGAACATCTGTGGGATTAACAGCAACATTGATGCTGTTCATCACTACCTGCAAAATAATTTTCCCGCCATGCTTTTCTCGGCGGAGACAAAAATCTCAGATTAGGCAGCGACTAATCATATTATCTTACCAAATTACGAGGTGCACTCCAATGTGAGAAAGAACGGGGAAGTTGTGGCCTTTTTCCTGCTTCAGAGACGTTTCCTTGAAATCAGACCGGAAAAACATTCTGTGGCTTCGCCTCAACTCCAAAACATCCCCCAAATTTATTTGCTGCTTCTATCGCTCTACTTCAGACCATAACTGGGATGACCTACTCGTAGTTGAATACCTCGTTGTCAAGATTGTCTTCCGGAACATCAATTACCCCGCTCCAGAGGTAATTTTCCTCGGTGAATTCAATGCTCATAATGAGCTCTGGTTGGGCTCTAACAAGACCGATGCAGCTGTTGAAGCGTGCTTTATTGACCAAGGACTGACCCAGCTGGTGACGAGCCCTACTTCTTTCTCCGCGTTTCGTCACACGCCAGAAGCCTGCTGTATCTCCGTAAGTGACAGGATGCGTGGACAGACTTACCTGTATCCCATTAGTAAGTCAGATAGCGGTGATGTGGACGTTAGATTGGACTGGGAGGGACTCAGAGACCTCTCCCTGGAGAGATATTTGTATCCGCTAACGCGGATGCGTCGGCTGTCTGTTCATTAATAACAGAAATTATCCACGTTGGGATAGAGGAATACATCTCTCTTACAGTGAAAGTGTACCAGGGTCCAACGGCTGGTTCAATACATTGTCCGACACTGGTCGTCAGCAGAAAAAGCAGAAAATCTAGGCATTGAAGAGGTGTGCAACGAATCTTGCTCCAATTCTTTCGCGTATTTTCCAGATATCTTACGAATCCTGCACCGTCCCAGAAAACCGAAAATTTGCTTAAGTCTAACCCATCCCAAAAGGGTAAGATGCATAAATCGCGAGCTTCTGGACTACTACGAACGTCACTGCTTGATTACAGACAGGCAGTATGGGTTTCCGGCACCAATGATCCACAGCAGACCTCTTAGCTTATTTTACGAAATTGTGGAGTAAACTTATCCAGTCTTATGGTGAGGCTCATGTCGTTGCTCTTGATATCACGAAAGCGTGCGGACAGCTGTGGCACGCTGCCCTTTTATGCAAACTTTTATCGTATGTCCTCCCAGAAAAACATTTCAGATGAGTGGCTAACCTTCTCTCTGGCCGCAAGATATCCGTCGTAATTGACGGGTTCTTTTCGTCGTTCACAACGTCAACGCGCGTGTCCTCATGGATCGACCTTGGCTTCGACACTGTTCCTGTTCCACATCAATGACCTACTTTCCTGTACGATCAATCCAATCCGCAGCCTTGCTGATGACAGCACACTAGATGCAGGAGTTCAGAGCGACAAGCCGATCTCTGCCGGTGAGCTGGAAAAAAGAAGACTGGCAGCGACTTTCTCTCTGAGACCTGGACGTTATTATTACTGCTTGGGGACGCAACAATCTTGTACAGTTTAATGCTTCCAGAACACATTAGTGTACCTTGATGAACAAAAAGCGTACTAGCGCTCATCCGGTTTTGAGGGATGGCCGAGTTCTGCCAAAGAGCCGTTCATTTCGGCTGGTCGGAGTCCAGATCCCGAGTTCTTGGCACGAACACTCTATACAAGGCCCAGAAAAGACCTAGCCTCGAGTATTGTTCACACGTTTGGGGTGCTGCCGCCCCGGCTACATTGTTCATGCTCGATGCTGTCCAGAGGAGGACACTCCGACTAATCGATTACTCTTCTCTAACAGACTAGCCCTCTTCTACCGCTACACCAACGGGCTTTAATCCTCAATGCTGTCCTGCATGATGCACCACGCGATGTGCCTGCCAAACAGACCAGCCTGACTTCGGCGTCCCATCCTAACAGTGTCGAACTTCGTAAATCCAGAACTGGCCGATACGACCGCTCCTTTGTCCCTAGAGTAGCGAGATTGCGGACAATCTGCAAGAGGAGACTTTTCCCAGTTCTTCTAACTTTAGGCAGTTCAAAAATCGATTTAAGAAAGTTTCTTTGGGATCCTTATAGCAGTCGCGTTGTCCTGACATTTTAATTTCTGTCTGTGCGGCCGCTTTGGTGTAAAAAATAAGCAAAAAATAGTACACAGCATAGCTTTTATATACAACGTGCTAGATCAGTAAAATGGTCTTCTCAAGGGAGATACTGATAGAACTTTGTTTCACTAGTAACACTTTACATCACTACGTTTAATTTAGATATCTCCATTGATTAGCGCTACATTTACTATAACCTATGAACGTAAATTAATTCAAGGGGAGTGATGTGATAATGTTCGTTGGCCGTGTTTTCATTTTTCTAGCATTAAAAGCAGTTTTCCAATATTATCCGGATTGTAGAGGTATTCAAGATAAATAGCTACATAAGCTATACCTATACCTAACAGCAACCACATTCCTTACTCGTATTCAAATATTTCATAATATAAAGTACTACATCTGTGCCAACGGTTCAAACGTGTCTTTCGAGTATTGATATTTCTATCATGCTGCCAGGAAGTTAGTGAACTAGGAGCTGACTATCCACATAATATACCTATGTCTAAAGTTCTCATTTTGCAGAAACGATTGTTATTATCTAAATTCACCGATCTATATGATAGGTTCATCTGCCTCTCCAACTGCAGACAGATTTCTCGACTTCATTACATGTGGCAACGGTAGATGGCAGGCAAATCGGAAATGACGAAAATCGAGCAAGCAAGTAC